TTTACTGTCCTCTTGATTACTCTTCTTTTGTTGTTGCTTCTTATTAATGTTTCTGCTTTCTAATTCTTACACACCCAGTAACACCTTCGGTCTTAGTGGCTATACTGCCTTCAAAAAGTTGGAATTTGGCTCCAGAAAGAAATATTTATGCATAGCTACTTGTATGTTGCATGTTCAAAAGTAAGAAATCCTAAGAAATTATTCTTTGTTGTTAAAAAGAAAAAAAAAATTTTCATAAAAATATCGTTTACCATGAAGTCCTGTAATATTAAATTAAATTATTAAACTACAAAGTTTTTGTCAAAGTATTTTTTCAAAAAAATCAGCTAATTCAAATTTCATCGATCGGTTTGTGAAATTGAACAAAACATAGAGTTTGTAAATCTTGACAAAAAATGTTAGCGATAACTTCCACAATATTAAATAATGTCAGGATTTCAACACACGTCAGCATGTTGCAAAAAAATTCTAGTAAGAACAAAATCTGGAGAAATCCATGGATTGTCCAAAATCTGGATTTGAAATATTGTGAATGCTTATTCATCACAATATTAGTGTAGCAATATTTTATTATGCTCATTCATCGCGATATTAGTGTAGCAATATTTTATTATGCCCATTCATCATGATATTAGTGTAGCAATATTTTATTATGCTTATCGCGATATTAGTGTAGCAATATTTTATTATGCTCATTCATCATGATATTAGTGTAGCAATATTTTATTATGCCCCTTCATCATGATATTAGTGTAGCAATATTTTACTATGCTCATTCATCATGATATTAGTGTAGCAATATTTTATTATGCTCATTCATCATGATATTAGTGTAGCAATATTTTATTATGCTTATTCATCGCGATATTAGTGTAGCAATATTTTATTATGCTCATTCATCATGATATTAGTGTAGCCATATTTTATTATGCTTATTCATTGCGATATTCGTGTAGGAATATTTTATTATGCACATTCATCATGATATTAGTGTAGCAATATTTTATTATGCTCATTAAAAGAACTGGGAGTAGAAGAATAACCCTTTAATTGAGCGTGACAGCTCAAAGCAATTTGGATGATACTTTCATCTAACTTGGATCAATCTCAGCCAAAGTATTTCAGTCTTTGATATGGGCAGGGTGTGGAGATGTGATTTATGGGTTTTATGAGGCAGGAACATCTCCCTTCTGCAAGCTTAACAGAGAAGTTCATGCCTCATAAAAGAAAATCGATTTTGCCAGGTAGTGGCAGTCTATCCAGTTTAGCATTAGAAGCAATAGACTCTATATAACACTGATTCTTCCCCCACCCATTTTTTAATCCCATCTCAATGTTGAAGCCAATGCATATACCAGAAGGATTTTGTCAGCTGGTTTCTACTATCTGTAATTTTTTTTGACAATGAGTTCACTTTTGTGATCAGCCAAAGTGATCACCTGAGAAGTGGCATCCAAGACTCACCCAGCTGCTGGTCCAAAGTGCAATGGCACAGATGAAAAACATTGTTTCAATGTCAGTATCATCCTTCTTGCATTGTCTACATCTGGAATCATGCCATTTCTGGCTCTTATTGAAGCTGAAAGTTGAAAGGCTTGTGCATAAGATTGAGTAGCACATGACAAGGCAGCTGATGGTAATCCTGAAAAAGGACTTTCCAGGCTGTTTTGAAAACTCTAAGGGATATGGTGCTAAATGTGTTAGATCCCATGGGGAGGACATTGAAAAGGTCCATGCTGTCATTGTCCTAGGTAGGATGTGTTTTTATAAATATTAATTGGCTGGATCATTTCTGGATATAGCTTGTATTTTCTTTTAATCATTTCATGCCAAGCAAGGCAATAAAGCCACTAAGATGCAAGGGGGGCGGTTAATGAGCGTAAGATAATATGAGAAAAAAATATTAAGGAAAGAGGACAATAAAAGAACAGGAATTAAGAAGACAGAAAATAATGATTGACATTGAAGCTAAATTTTTGAAGATCAAAGTTAACTGGAAAGCAAGAAGCTGGAACAAGGTTCCACAAGCGAGAAGTGTGATAGAAGAAACTCATTGTATTCCGATAAAATGTCTCTTCACTGGCGTGCTTTGAATTGCTGATGGAGAAAGAGTGGTGAGTGAGTACTTAGGCAAAGTACTTTCTCATAACCAATTTACATGCTGTTATAGAGTAGCTAGCACCCCTTCAGCACTATACCAGATGGCCTAGTTCATAGCCTTAAGTAGTCTATGATTAAGGACTTCAACAGTCGATTAATAAGTTGATACTAAACTGATTAATATTAGGACTGATCTTACTTTGTTTCGCTATACAGCATTTGACCCTCTTCTATTCCTTGTAAGTTGTCTTGTTAATTGTTTTGTAACTTATTGTTTTGTGCTTTTTGTATGTATCCATTAGCACCAGATACTGATGCTGAATAAATATATTAAGCACTCATTCTTCTCTGTGTATCATTCACTTCGACGATACAACATATATTAACAACATTTTGGCTGTTGTTCACTCAGGCCTACTTCAAGTGATTAGAATTTTGAACCGAACCCTTTATTTTATGCAGTGGATAAAGGTGTTGTTTTGAAGTAATCCAGTGACTTGACCCCAAAAAGTTGTGAGTTCAATACCTGGCTACAGCAGAGGTGAACAAAAACTTTTACTGCTTTTTAGCTCTCTAAATTATCACACACTTTTTAAAATATTCTATATATTTTTATTTCATTCTGTTTTTGTAATTAAAGAATGATATTAAAAGCCATTAACATTTCCCAGTGCAAATAAACAAAAGAAGATTACTTCCTTGTAATATTTTATTGATATTAATTATTATTATTAATTTTAGTGACTGGCAAACTCTTCATCATTACTATTGTTGTAGCATAACTATCACCCCATTCAGCACTCTACCAGATGGCCTGGCTTATAGCCTTAAGTAGCCTACAATTAAGGACTTCAACAGTTGATTAATAAGTCAATACTAAACTGATTAATATTAAGACTGATCTTACTTTGTTTGGCTATACAGCATTTGACCCTCGTCTATTCTTTGTAAGTTGTCTTGTTAATTGTTTTGTAATTTATTGTTCTGTGTTTTATGTATGTATCCATTAGCAATGGATACTGGTGCTGAATAAATATATTAAGCACTTATTCTTCTCTGTGTATCATTCACCTTAATAATACAATACATGCCATAACAGGGGCACCAAAAAACTTTACCTCTATTGTCAACCTTGATAATAAATTATGATCTCTAAAAATCTATGTAAAATTATCAAACATAGAATTTCTCCAGGTATGTAGTAACCAAAAAAAAAATAAAATGGTGCATTCTTCATGCAGCTAAAACATTAGGTGATATGCATATGGTGCATGGAATGTTCCCAGGATTCATTATTGGCAGCCACAGTTTTAACAACATAAGATATGCAAATGACACAGTGTTGATAGCAGATGCAGAAAAAGGTCAAATTTTCAAATGTTGATTTTAAGGTATGCATTTCCTTTTTTGGAAATTGGTGTAGCAGAGTCTTCCTATTTTCATTTATTCTTTTATGAAGAAACACTGAATGAAAATAAATATCTGATGTCACTAATCCTATTCAAAGGATCAGCTTCGATTTATACTACAAGAGTGAGAATAGTCTTGCAGATCCCAAAACTGAGTTTATTCAATACTGGGTTCCTGACACTTGAGGCATTATGCCTACGTAATGAGTATAAAGAGAGGACTAGATGTCCTACCAGGATTTATTACTGGTGGCTACAATCTTAACAATGTAAGATATGCAGATGATCCAGTGTTTATAGTAGACACAGAAAGGAAACTATAAAAACTTCTACAGAACATAGTGAAGGGAAGGGTGGGGGAGAAAGGATTAAACATCAACTATGAGAAGACAGAATGCATGTTTATTAGCAAAAGGATCATCCGAAAATGCAAATTATAAATTGGAGATACCAAGAGCAAACACGTGTGGAAATTTAAATATCTGGGAAGTGTTTAACAGAGGATGGAAAGTGCCACACTGAAATCCGAAGACATATTGGGATAGTGAAAGATGCCTTCCAAAAGCTAAGCAAAGTATTAAGAAACAGAAAAACTTTGTTAGAAACAAAGAAAAGAGTACTGAACTGTTACATGATATCTGCCCTCCTTTATGGTGCAAGAAGCCAAAATGCAATGTTGTCAGCAAAAACATGAGCCCAAAATGCAAATTAAAATTAGAGATGCCAAAATCAAACAAGTTCAAACATTTAAATATCTGGGAAGTGTTTTAACAGAGGATGGAAAGTGCCACACTGAAATCCAAAGACACATTGGGATAGTGAAAGATGCATTTCAAAAGCTAAGCAGAGTATTAAGAAATAGAAAAAACTTTGTTAGAAACAAAGAAAAGAGTACTGAACTGTTATATGATCTCTGCCCTCCTATATAGCAGTGAATGCTGGACAATCTGCTCAAAGATGAAGAAGAAACCTGAAGCAACAGAAATATGGTTCCGTGGAAGGATGTTGAGATTACCATGGACTGAACATGTGAGCAATAACAAGGTTGTGGAGAAAATGGAAACACAAAGGGAACTTATATTTAACATATTTATTTAAAACAGAAATTTATGTTTAACACAGACAGTTGAAATTTCTAGGGCACGTACTGAGGAAAGATGGCTTGGAAAATCTGATACTCGCAGGACAGATTGATGAAAAAAGGGATAGAGGAAAACAATGCATAACATACTTAAGAAGCTTGGATGGCAGAACAGAGTTTAGAAGAAATAACAAAAAGACAAAATTTTCTATCTGTCTGTCTATATCAATCTGTTCATATCTATCTATCTAAATATCTATCTCAATCAAAGTATCTATCACAATCTGTTCAGATCTATCTATCTCTCAATCTGTTCAGATCTATGTATCTGTTTATCTCAATCTATCTGTCTATATCAAACTGCTCATATCTATCTAAATATCTATCTCAATCTATCACAATCTGTTCAGTTCTATCTATCTATCTATCTATCTATCTATCTATCTATCTATCTATCTATCCAAAACTCTTCATTATCTATCGATCTACGTATCTGTTTATCTATCTTATTCTAATCTATCTCAAGCGGATTCATTGGTCAATCCAAAATCTTTCTTTCTTTTTACTTTCTTCCTATATCTGTTCACATGTTTCTTTCTTTCTTTCTTTCTTTCTTTCTTTCTTTCTTTCTAGTTCTTTTCAAAATCTATCTATCTATCTATCTATCTATCTATCTATCTAGCTATCTATCTATCTATCTCAGTCTGTTCATTATCTATCTATCTATCTATCTATCTATCTCAGTCTGTTCATTATCTATCTATCTATCTATCTATCTATCTATCTAGCTATCTATCTCAGTCTGTTCATTATCTATCTATCTATCTATCTATCTATCTCAGTCTGTTCATTATCTATCTATCTATCTATCTATCTATCTATCTATCTATCTGTTCAGATCTACATATCTGTTTATATCAATCTATCTATCTATCTTTCTATATCAATCTGTTCATGTCTAAATATCTATCTCAATCAATCTAAGTATCTATCACAATCTGTTCAGATCTATCTATCTATCTATAGCCAGCTATCTCAATCTGCTTATATCAATCTGTTTATAAAGATGTATATGTTTGTATGATGATGACTGACAATGAAAACAGTACATGATTGAGAACCTGGACAAACCAAATTGGAAAACTCCAGCAACTCCTAAATTTTGAATTTTGCCAGTCAAGATCTTTGGTGCTAATTTTGAAAATAAGCTGATCTGACTTTGGCTCCTAATAAGCAAAAAGTCAATTCCTCTCTTGTAACCCAATATGGCAAGAATGAGACAAAAAACCCTTTCTCTTAACTAATTTACCTGCCCAGTGAGTAGCAGTGATAAATCCGTTACCTGCACAGTCTATTTCAACAGGGGCCAATTATGAATGCAGCAAGTATGTGTTAATGGAAGGAGCAGAACATAATTTGTTTTTTAGCAAAGTCGAACATATGTGCAACAGCAGGAATGCAAAATGTGGTTATTATTAGATGCAAGAATGCCTATTATTTTCTTTTCGTTTTTTTTCAATTTATACCGCAAGAGCTCAAAGATAGCAACTAGTTTTGTTCTTTATAATTAGGCTGATGAGTCACAGATATGAACAACTGGAAGGAAGACATGTCAACAATGCATATGTTAAAGCATATACTCCCATATATATATGTATATATATACGGGGTGTAACAGCAAAATTGTCCAAATCGTGTAACAGCAAAATTGTCCAATTGTTAGATTAATCACAGAACTGTTGTATCTTAGAAATGATTAAAGATATCTTACTGGAATTCTCCGAGGTTTCTATAACACTATTGGACTCTGCTTTGAGTAATAAGAATGTATAATTACTCTGCAAGCTTAACAGAAGAATCGTGATGAAATCGATCATAAACGAAAATGACATGTTCATCATTAATTAATCATAGTTGAGGATCAGAAGCTTGTGAAGTATTGAAATAAAATTCAAATATATATATATATTATTCCAGGATCATTTTCCAACTTATGTAAGATGATCTTCGCCCTCTCTAACCTTCTAACTTTCTGTCCTGGAGTAATAAGGTGCCTCACAGTTTACACATATGATTACATTTTCAAGTCTTTTTTTTCACTGCTCTTTGGACTGTCATAGCTGAAATTCATCTCTCACATGCTAAACATCTTATCAATTGAGTTGACTTTTCTAATTGATCTCTTTAGCTCTAAGTTGAAATGATGACCCCTCTTCATATTGTGACCTCCTGATCCAGTTTCCTCTCTACTGTTCCATTTTTTTAAAAAATATTCACCATTCTCTTGATGGTTCAGGAATGGACTTTGAAGATAGAAGCCAGAGTATGAATGTTAGCACCATTACTGAAGGCCTGAATGATCTTTTTCCTCTCACCATTGCTCATTTGGGAAGACAGTGGGGATGACATAAAAATATTTTAGCCTGTTCTTTTCTAGCTGAATAACTCAAAGGGTTTTTCAGTGATTCTTACGACAAATGGTGTCAAGATGGCTAAATGTCTTTTCTAAAAATCTGGAAAAAAAAACCTATTTAGTTTAGTGCTTTTTAGATATTAAACATTTTGTGGGATGGACAATTATGTTGTAACATGATCTGGACAATTTGTTACACCCGGTATATATATATATATATATATATATATATATATATATATATATATATATATATATATATATATATATAATACCTATTGGTAATTGGCAAAGATATTTCAAGGAGGACATTAATTCAAAAAAGAGCTCAATGTAAGAAACAGAGCAATATTATAATAAGTCATTATTATTATTATTAATATATTATTATTATTATATATATATATATATATATATATATATATATATATATATATATTATTATAATATATTATTATAAAATATTATAAATATTATTATTATTATTATTATTATATATATATATATATATATTAATAATAATATATTAATAATAATAATAATAATGACTTATTATAATATTGCCCTGTTTCTTACATATATATATATATATATAATGAAAAATTTTTTACATTTTATGTATTGTTTTCCCATATATATATATATATATATATGCAGGTATGTGTGTGTGTCTGTGTGCATTAATATGTGTGCATGCACACCTTATAAATATTATGTAGGTATACATACAGATATTATGTATATATGCTTATCATCTCTCTTTGAAGAGATAACTAATAGCTGAACTTTGAATTAATGTCACACACAGACATATATATATATATATATATTGTTTATACAGTCTTTCCAACCATATAAAGAGTATATTTCATTCTGGGGTTATCTATGAGTCATTCTGGAGATCAGTGAGGGTGTGGGTATCAGTGGATTTTGTAGGCTTACTCCAAACATTGACCTTTGTCGCATAATGTGTCAGTTATTTTTAAGCAAAATTTTAGGCTATAAAGTGAGAATTATATGGTGAAAAGCACAGTACGTTATTTAATTTTTTAGTTAATTAACTTGTAGGAGGAGGAGGGATGAATTGGATGAAAGGCAAAGTAGGGGCATTAAGTGGCACGGCATTTTTGTTCATTCAAAATAGAATAATGGTTATCAGTCTGGAAAATGTAACTCTTGCTTTTGCGACCGATTCGAGAACACTGCATGCTTTCATTCTTTATTTTTTATGTGTCCCTTCAGAATGTGTGAGGTCATGGCTTTCCACAGCTTCCTATTCTTTGTTGCTCTTAACAATATTTGCTTTCTACTATCCCTCCAACACCCTACATTACTCACTGTTCCCCTTTACCCGACTTGCCGTCAATATATCTTGTGAGTGTCAAATTCACCAAGCCCTCTGACGGGGAGCTGAATTCAATACCCAGTTGGGTTTGTTATATTCACTTACCTACAAATACCCTTGAGAAAGGTATGAATCAACCTCTTCTACCTCCTACAGCTATGGGTTAATTAGTAGGACTTGTATGAGTAAATCAATATTATCTCCTAATATACTCTTGCAAACTAAAAATATTTTCTGGCTTTAAATAACCAACAAAAGGTTGTTAAGCCATAAAAAAAATAATCAAATTGAACCAAGCTGTCTGAGTGTTTGGCCATGCAGCTGAACTTTGTGATGTTCTAAGAAAATTTGTGGAATTGCAGACACATTAAAAGCAGAGCTTCTCAAACGGGGTGCACTAATGCAACATGAAAGCTAATTGTGTCATATCAGTAAATCAGGAAATTATTGTTATTTCCAAAAGTTCTCATGGTCTAATACATTTTCTGGCTTTAAATAATCACAAGTGGTTGATAAGTAAATATAATGAAACTGACTGGAATTGGAACTTGTCTCTCTGTTTAACAATCCAGAGCCATTATTTGTTACACCACCCACACATCCAAGTGCAGGTGGTGTAATGGATAATGGCTTAGAATTGGAAATCGGAGAGCTGAGTTCCAATTTAAGTTCACTCATGCACAAATACCCTTGAGATAGGTATGAATCCACCTCTTCTCCCTCAGCTATGGGCTAATTAGTAGGACTTGTATCAGTAAATCATTATTATCTCCAAAACACTCTTGCAATCTAAAAATATCTTCTGGCTTTAAATAACAAATGAAAGGTTGTTAATCCATAAAAAAAACAAATCAATCAAATTGAACCAAGCTGTCTGAGTGTTTGGCTATGCAGCTGAACTTTGTGACATTCTAAGTAAATTTGTGAAATTGCAGACACATTAAAAGCAGAGCTTCTTAAATGGGGTGCACTAATTCATCATGAAAGGTAGCCAGCTGTGCCTCAAGTTGACAGAAGAGTAATTTATTAATTAATTTTATATTCAAAAAATCTTTATTTTAAAAAAAAGGGACATCAAGCACATGGTTTCCATGTTTAAGTCAAGTTTTTATTGTTTGATATTTTAAAATAAATGCTAAATGCCTTCATTTTTAAAAAGGAGTGGATAACCCTTTCTTTTTTCACTTTCTTCAAGGGATTTGAATCCATCTTTATTTTAAAAGAAATAGATTCTTCATAAATCCCTTTAAATGAAAACTGTACTGCTAATCCTCGTTGGGGATGCTGAACCAAAAATGACAGCGATTAAAGGTAATTTTCTTCTTTGCCAAAACACATCAAGCATGTGTTTCGCACAAGCAAACTTAGATATAAAATGTAATGTCTTAAAAATAAATGCTTTTTTCAGGAGACTTTATTATTATTTTCCTATATACAAAACTCCTGACTGATTTTTCCTTTAAACTATTTACAATGTTCACACTATTATCCTCATGTTTGTTACCATATTGTTGTAGAGTAGCATATATATATATATATATATATATATATATATATATATATGTTGTAGAGTAGCTAGCACACCTTCAGCAGTTTACCAGATGGCCTGGCTAAGAGCCTTAAATAGTCTATGATTAAAGATTTCAACAGTTGATTAATAAGTTGATAGTAAGCTGATTAATATTAGGATTGATCTTACTTTGTTTGGCTATACAGCATTTGACCCTCGTCTATTCCTTGTAAGTTGTCTTGTTAATTGTTTTGTAATTTATTGTTCTGTGTTTTTGTATGTATCCATTAGCACTGGATACTAGTGCTGAATAAATATATTAAGCACTCATTCTTCCCTGTGTATCATTCACCTCGACAATACAACACATATTCATAACATTTTAGCTGTTGTTTATTCAGGCCTACTTCAAGTGATTAGAATTTTGAACCGAACCCTTTATTTTATGCAGTGGATAAAGGTGTTGTTTTGAAGTAATCCAGTGACTTGACCCCAAAAAGTTGTGAGTTCAATACCTGGCTACAGCAGAGGTGAACAAAAACTTGGAAAGTTGGGTTACTAAAGGGAAATAACTGATACTGAGATATCTGGAAGAGGTATGGCATGTGGAACTAGAATGATCTAGCCAGGCGGATGAAATATAGGGTTCGGTTCAAAATTCCAATCACCTGAAGAAGGCCAAAACGTTGTGAATATGGCAACAAAGATGAGGATAACAGTCTGAACATTGTAAATAGTGTAAATAATTACAATACCTCATCTTAGAAATATAGACAGATCCTGAATTAGGCCTGAATGTACAACAGCCAAAACATTGTGAATATGGCAACAAAGATGAGGATAACAGTTAGAACATTGTAAATAGTGTAAATAATTACAATACCTCATCTCAGAAATATAGACAGATAATTTTTCCTTATTAAAAATTTCAAATGCATCCCAGAGCTTTAGTTATTCTACAAGTGCACCTTGAATTGAAAAGAAAGCCGAGAAACACAGTATTAGAGTAAAGATGTCTAAGGTTTCTTACTTGCTAAATATAAGACAGATGCGAGTCTTTTTGATTTCCTGCTCCAAATAGAATAAGCATTTTTCATTCTCTTGTGAACAAAGTTTTCTATCAAAAATAGTTTATCATTGTAGCTGCTCAAATATACTGGGTCGAGTGCTACTAAAAACCCATTATGGAATCCCACAGATACTTTCCTCTTCATTCATATATGTCTCTTTAGATCATGGCTTTCTATAACTTCCTATTTTTATAGCATTTAGCAATGTTTGCCTTTTTATTATACTTCCAACACCCTGTTCTGCCAGCCATTTATACAAGCATGTTAGGTAGATTACTCGATGTTTCCTTCTGCCCCACTTGCCTTCAATGTCATGTGAGTGTCAAATTCTCCAAGCCCTCTTTCCTCATTATGTGTCCCTATCTATTTATATATCTACATATGTCATGTATTTACATATCTATTTACATATCGGCTATTTATTTACTAGGTTACTTGCTTCTTCCCTCTGCTCCTCTTGAATTCAGTAAGTCATGAGTGTGTTAAATTCTCCAAGTCCTCTTTCCTCATTATGTGTCCCTATTTACATATCTACAGATGTCATATAATTACATATCTATTTACATATCGGCTATCTATTTAGTAGGTTACTCGCTTCTTCCCTCTGCTCATCTTGACTTCAATATGTCATGGGAGTGTCAAATTCTCCAAGCCCACTTTCCTCATTATCTGTCCTTATCGATTTACATATCTACATATGTCATATAATTACATGTCGGCCATCTATTTAGTAGGTTACTCACTTCTTCCCTCTGCCCCTCTTGCCTTCAATATGTCATGTGAGTGTCAAATTCTCCAAGCCTTCTTTCTTCATTACGTGTTGTTATCTATTTACATATCTTCATAAGTAATATATTTACATATCTATTTACATATTGGCTATCTATTTAGTAGGTTACTCGCTTCTCCCTCTGCTCGTCTTGTCTTCAATATGTCATGTGAGTAGCAAATTCTCCAGGCCCTCTTTCCTCATTATCTATCTCTATCTATCTACATATCTTCATATGTAATATATTTACATATCTATTTACATATCGGTTATCTATTTAGTAGGTTACTTGCTTGTTTTGTTTGCCTCCAATATGTCATGTGAGCGTCAAATTTTCCAATCCCTCCTTTCTCACTCTTCAGGATATTAACAGTCATGGCTCTCCACAATTTCCTGACCCTATTAGCTCTTAATAAATTTTGTCTTTTTGTCAGCTCTCCTAGACCTTGTTCCGCCAGAGATTTATTCAAGCTCATCAAGTATGTTCGGCATTGTTTTTCCTTATCCCATTTACCCTCAATCTGCCTGGTGAGTGTTGAATTTTCCAAGCCCCCTTTCCTTATTAAGTGCCCTAGAAATTTCAACATTCTCTTCCTGATGTTAAGTATAAGGGTCCTTTTTGTTTCTGTTTTCTCTAAAACTTTCTCATTGCTCACATGTTTGGTTCAGGGTATTCTCAGCATCCACATTTCTCTTGCTTCAAGTCTCTTCTTCATCTGTGAGGAGATTATCCAACATTCTCTGCCATAGCGGAGGACTGTTATTACGTAACAGTTCAGTACTCTTTTCTTTGTTTTTCTTGCTTCAATTGTCTTCTTCATCTGTGAGGAGATTGTCCACCATTCGCTGCCATATACAAGGACTGATATTACATAACAGTTCAGTACTATTTTCTTTGTTTTTCTTGCTTCAATTGTCTTCTTCATCTGTGAGGAGATTGTCCACCATTCGCTGCCATATACAAGGACTGATATTACATAACAGTTCAGTACTCTTTTCTTTGTTTTTCTTGCTTCAATTGTCTTCTTCATCTGTGAGGAGATTGTCCACCATTCACTGCCATATACAAGGACTGATATTACATAACAGTTCAGTACTATTTTCTTTGTTTTTCTTGCTGCAATTGTCTTCTTCATCTGTGAGGAGATTGTCCACCATTCACTGCCATATACAAGGACTGATATTACATAACAGTTCAGTACTCTTTTCTTTGTTTTTCTTGCTTCAATTGTCTTCTTCATCTGTGAGGAGATTGTCCACCATTCACTGCCATATACAAGGACGGATATTACATAACAGTTCAGTACTATTTTCTTTGTTTTTCTTGCTTCAATTGTCTTCTTCATCTGTGAGGAGATTGTCCACCATTCGCTGCCATATACAAGGACTGATATTACATAACAGTTCTGTACTAATTTTTTTTGTTTCTAACAAAATTTTTTTTATTTCTTAATACTTTGCTTAACTTTTGGAAGGCATTTTTGCCATCCCGATGTGCTTTCAAATTTAAGTTTCACACTTTCTGTCTTTTTGCTAAAAAAACTTCCCAGATATTTAAATTTTTGCGTTTGTTTCATTTCAAAATCTCCAATTTGTAATTTGCATGTTGGGTCATTATTTTTCTGCACCATCATTTATTTTGTCTTCTTGCAATTGATGTTTAGTGCTTTCTTCTTGTTTTTCTTCTGTAGGAGTTCTTGTAGTTTCCTTTCTTTCTTGCTATCAGTATTCTATAAATTTCTTTTATAAAACTTTCTGATTCTAAGTATAATTGTCCTTTTTGTTACCTCAAAACTTCCTTATTAATTACATACTCTGTCCATGGTAATCTCAGCATTCTTCTGGAACATCACATGTCTATTGCCTCAAGTCTCCTCTTCATCTGTGAGGAAATTACCCAGCATTCATTGCCATATAGGAGGATTGGTATTACACAGCAATTCAACACTCTTTTCTTTGTTTCTGTTGCTTCAAGTCTCCAATTCACCTGTGAGAAATTTTGTCCAGCATTTGCTGCCATATTGGAAGATTGATATTATATAGCATTTCAGCACTCTTTTCTTTGTTTTAATGAAATTTTCCTGTTTCTTAATGCTTTGTTTAACTTTTGGAAGACATCTTTTGCTATCCCAATGTACATTTGGATTTCTATATGACATTAACCATCATTTAGAAATTAGACATTTAAATTTCTCTATTTGCTTGCCTTTGAAATCTCAAATTCTTTGCGTGCATCTTGAACACTCCCTCTTGCTAATAATTGTACATTTTGTCTTCTTACAGTAGATGCTTAGTCCTTTATTCACACTTTCCTTTAGTACCGTCTCTGGGAGTTACTCTGTGTTTGCCATCATCAGTATAGCATCTATCTATCTATCTATCTATCTATCTATCTATCTAGTTCAGCATGTTAAGTATCTATCTGTCAAAATTTGTTCATATCTCAGTCTGTTCATATCTATCTATCTATCTATCTATCTATCTATCTATCTATCTAAGTCTGTTCATTACTCTCTCGATCTATATATTTCAATTTGTTCATATCTAAGTCTGTTTATATCTCTGCCTCCCAATCTATCTATCTATCTATCTATCTATCTATCTATCTATCTATCTATCTATCTAGTTGAGCCTGTTAATTATCTACCCGTCAAAATTTGTTCATATCTATCTATCTATCTATCTATCTATCTAAGTCTGTTCATTACTCTATATATTTCACTTTGTTCATATCTAAGTCTGTTTATATCTATCTATCTATCTATCTATCTATCTATCTATCTATCTATCTATCTATCTATCTCAGTCTTTATATCTAAGTCTCTTTATCACTCTCTCTCAATCTATATAATTCAATTTGTTCATATCTAAGTCTGTTTATATCTCTTCCTCTCTGTCTGCCTATCTATCTATCTATCTATCTATCTATCTATCTATCTATCTATCTATCTATCTCAGTCTTTATATCTAAGTCTCTTTATCACTCTCTCTCAATCTATATAATTCAATTTGTTCATATCTAAGTCTGTTTATATCTCTTCCTCTCTGTCTGCCTATCTATCTATCTATCTATCTATCTATCTATCTATCTATCTATCTAGTTCTCAGTCTTTATATTTAAGTCTGTTCATCACTCTCGATCGATCTATATATTTCAATTTGTTCATATCTAAGTCTGTTTATATCTCTGCCTATCTATCTATCTATCTATCTATCTATCTATCTATCTATCTATCTATCTAAGTCTGTTCATTACTCTATATATTTCACTTTGTTCATATCTAAGTCTGTTTATATCTCTTCCTCTCTGTCTGCCTATCTATCTATCTATCTATCTATCTATCTATCTATCAAAATTTGTTTATATCTCAATCTCTTCATATGTATGTATGTATGTATGTATGTATCTCAGTCTTTATATCTATCTAAGTCTCTTTATCACTCTCTCTCGATCTATATATTTCAGTTTGTTCATACCTAAGTGTGTCTATATCTCAGTCCCTGTCTCTCAGTCACACTCTATCTATCTATCTATCTATCTATCTATCTATCTATCTATCTATCTATCTATGTTCATATTGATCTGTCTCATTTCCAGGTCAATTTGTAGACAAACTATTCATCTAAATACCTTTATCTTTATCAAAAAGTTACAAAACCTTTCTTGCCATTAAATCATTACTATTTCTGGTCATGCTCTTCTTGGTATATTTGAAGAATTTGGCAGAAAATCTGCTGGTGCTGATGCTATCCTGTATTCAGCTCTAGAAACCTTGATACCTGAAGAAAAAGTTTTTATTACTTCTCTAATTGAATAATGAGTGCCATCTTTTATTTCCTCAAAAATTCAGAAAAATTACACCCTCAAAGAATGATAAAATTCCAGATAGTTTTCTGCTCATAAAAAAAAAAATATGATCTCAGTTAAATTTGGAAAAATTTATAAACTTTTTTTTTTGTTGGAAGCTTTGGATTGGTAAGGTTGTATTTTGGAATCCACTAAATCTAGATTTGCCCACTTAGTACCGGCAATACCTCCTTCTATCATCAATGAAGGAGCAGAGATTTTGGAGGCCATTCCAGAGAATGAGCCTTATTCTGGCTTTAAAGAGACAATTCTTGAACTACTCTAGGTAATGAATTATACAACAAAAAGAATTGAAGTAGTATTTATTATTATGAAACCATAATCAAATATCTTCCAAAATGAGGCAGAGAATTATTGAACTAGAGCAAACTGTTCAAGGTCATATATAAAGAGGTCAGTCCATTGGGATGCAACATCAACAGAGTAACGAGACACTATGATAAATTCGTTCGCTGGGATGGAACATCAACAGAGTAGCAAGACACTATGATTAAGTTCATTTACTGGGGTGTAACATAAAGAGAGTAGTGAGACATTATGATAAGGTCATTTGCTGGGATGGAACATCAAAAGAATAGCAAGATGCTATGATAAAGTTGTTCGCTGGGCTGAGTAGCAAGATGTTACGATAAACTTATTGATTGGGATGGAACATTAACAGAATAGTGAGGTGCTATGATAAATTCATTCGCTGCGATGGAACATCAACAGAGTAGCAAGACGCTACGATAAGTTTGTTCACTGGGATGGAACATCAACAGAATAGTGGAACACTATGATATGTTTGTTTAATGGGATGAAACATCAACAGAATAATCATAATTTTGTTCACTGGGACGGAACATCAACAGAATAGCAAGATGCTATCATAAGTTGGTTCACTGTGATGGAACATCAACAGAGTAGTGAGACAATATGATAATATACAGTCACCAGAAGATCATAAGAGCATAAAATTTGAAAAGTGGGTCCGGCTGTGTCATGTCAGTGTTGTGCAGCTATTTTTTTTCTCAGTCTATATTGTCTAGGCACTGAGCACTTTAATTTTCTTTCTAGGTAGGTGTTTACCTTTTGTCTTTTGGTTTTTCTTTTTTCTTTCCCTGTTCAGGATTTTCTTCTTGTATAAGGCATTAGGTTGTCTGGCCAATTGTCTGTTGGTCACATCCACATTGTTGGATTTTTAGCATATGTATATATAGGCAGCATATCTCTATTCAAACTCATATATATATATATATATATATATATATATATATATATATATATATATATGTGTGTGTGTGTGTATGTATATATATATATATCTCTATCTATAAAAGGCAGGATGTGTGTGTGTGCGTGTGTGTGTGTAACGAATGCACGGATGCAACTTTTGATGGATTTGCACCAAAATTTACATGCACATGCTCCAAGTTAGCGGGAAGGCCCAGACCAACATTGCATTTCTCAACTCCCATCGATAGTGGAAATAATCGATTTTTTCATGCTTCTATGGCAGTTTTCATGTAGTTTGCAGCCATTTTCTACTGGCCAGAATGAGAGCCTATAGCTGGCTGCCACGAATAGGCAGGAAGATTCTATTGGCCAGCGTGAGAGCCAACAGCTGACTGACATGAATGTTAAATAGCATGCTAGCATGCAAAAAAAATCGATAGCTGCATTCGTCACAAGTGGGAAAAATTTAAATCTACATGGCACTTTACTCCAATTGGCTCATTCGCTTGCTTAAAATCAACGTTGATTCTGATTCCGCAGAACTGGGTTGAAAAAGTATTTGTTGTTAACATTTTTTAATTCGGTTTTTCCAGTTATGAGTCCTTTTTTAAAACTGATCGTTTTGTGTTCATTTTGTTTAGTTCTTTTTTCATAACAGAGTTAATGTTTAGTATAGAGCTTAGAAAAAATTTGCAGTGTGAGATAGGCAAGAAGTAAGGCATGTAGCAACATCAGCACGGCAAAGGGCACTCCTTTAAAGGCAAGGAAGGGCAAAAATATTTTAAGTGATAGTGATTGCTGTATGAGTCATACAATTTTTGAATCAAGCACAGCCAACGCCGGGGCCATGCTGCGAGTTATGTATATACAGGCAGCATATCTCCATTCAAACTCATATATATATATATATATATATATATATATATATATATATATATATAGAGAGAGAGAGAGAGAGAGAGAGAGATATATAGGAAGTATGGAGGAATAATGGATAGTGTAGTGACCAAGTAATGGTTAATAAATAACAAAACAAGAGGTTGCAGATAAATAGTGTATTGAACAATAAATATAACAGAAGTGTGTTACACGACTTGGGAGTGTGTGTCGGTTGACCAGCATTCAGTCTATATCCCTGTTCCCCTGAGGCTTACTTTCCTACTACTTTATAGCAAGTGGAAGAGTCCACAGTAGACTCATTAGAGGGAAGGCACTACAACAGATAGTGGCTTGGATTGAGGAATCGGAGAGCTGAGTGTGAATTCCAGTTATATCCATTACATTCACTTACATGCTAATACCCTTGGGAAATGTATAAATCCTCTTCTCCCTCCAGCTATTGGTAAAATAGCAGGACAGATTGGGTTCTATATCTTTGGATGGCAACTGGAGAAGGACAACTCTGAATTCAAAAATTGCAAAGGGTTGTTTGGGGTCCCTGTGGCATGTAGTGCACCAGATCTCTGTATTCAGCCCTTCAAAAAGTGTGGTTGGTTCTGCATAAAGCCTTTACCACTATAATCAAATCATATGTGCTGGTGTCTGGGCAGTCGGTTCCTTGGAACTGAGCTGCTTGAACCTCATACATTGAATACAATGGGAGAGTCCACCATATATATATATATTTTTAGGCAGCTTATCTTTATTCAAACATATTTCATTGGATAATATAGACATATTATGTCTATTTATTCTTATACTGATCGTTTCCAGTTTTCTAATCAGTTTCTTGATGTTAAGATGAAATTCATTAAAGAAGGTTTTAGTTTTTTCCTACCCAAGTACTTTTGATTTCCTTCAAATCATCCTCACAGGTAAATTACAAAGACAAAACTTATTGTAACTGTGATAAAATTTGCGTTTTGTTGTGATGGTAATTTAAAAAAAAACACACACATGAATGGGCTCTGTTATCTTAAAATTTAAAATTTATCTATTGTTGTTATGGAATTAAGGGAGCTTCAAAAATTTAAATGCAATGTCAATCGCTGTGGTCCTCCTGATTACTATTCCTCTGTTCTTGCACCTTAGCAATATTCCTGTTTTTAATTCTTCCACATCAAGTAACCCTTGTGTCTCTGTGGCTTTACTTTATTCTTTCAGAGCTGAGGGGGATCATTTTTTTTTAACCAACATGTATCATTTCCTTTGAGCCAGATCCAATCTCGGTCTTAGATATTCTTTGGGGTTGTGCTTACTTTTGGCTTCAACCATGGCATCCAGATGACTTCGGAATCTTCTGTAATTCTTCTAGATGGTCTCCTTGTTTAAGATGGTGAATGCTGCCATAATCCTTGCCTTCAGTTCATCTTTGGTGTTACAAGGAGTTTTGTTGGTCTCTCGCTAAACTGCACCCAACAGATAATAATCAAGGGGGTTGCAGTCTGGGTTGAGTTAGGTGGCCAAATGTAAGGGGTGATGTGGTCACAAAAATTGTCTGGCAGCCAGGTTCTCCCACATGTGTGGCATGGTGCAGAGTCCTGTTGCCAGACATAGACTCTTTCAGAAGCCACCCTCTTGACCAGGGCAGCACTACCTATTCAAGGCACTTAATGTAGGCCTCTGTGTTGAGTCTGAGGCCCTGTGGGAAGATAAATGGAGGCATAATATTGCCATATCTAGTGATCACCCCAAACACTACTTTCTCACTCAACTGTGCCCCACATGTAATAATCAAAGGGGTTGCAGTCTAGGTTGAGTTAGGTGGCCAGATGTAAGGGGTGATGTGGTCACAAAAATTGCCTGGCCGCTATGCCTGGGTTCTCCCACTTGTGTGGCATGGTGCAGAGTCCTGTTGCCAGACATAGACACTTTCAGAAGCCACCCTCTTGACCCAGGGCAGCACTACTTCTTCAAGGCACTCTGTGTTGAGTCTGAAGCCCTGTGGGAAGATAAATGGAGGCATAATATCACCATCACTAGTGATCACTCCGAACACCTTCGTAATCACCATTAGACTCATCCAACTCTTTCTGAATCCTGTGCAGTGTCCTCAGATTGTCCTCCACCCAAACATCCTGAAATGTTTGCATTGAAGCTTCTGGAACAAATTCCAAGCAGTACAATATGCCATTTTCAAATTTCTGGTATAGTGAATTGCATCATGGCACATTTTTTCTCACATACGGCGCCTAAATGACCCTACTATACTGTGCAGTCAAAATTTCAAAAATAAAACAACCTGCATGCGTGAAATTAAAAATATAAAATGTCGACAATTACCCATGCTGTATTTACCAGCCTACAACCTCTTTTTCACGGATGATATGTGACAAGCCTCTTGCTGTTCTGTCTCTATCTCCATAAAAAATGTTCAGATGAACTAGATTCCTTAGTTGCACCAGTTCTAGTTTTCATGACTAAGACTCGTCAGGCCACTCACATTGTAGCGAATCATTCTCATTCCCTTTTTATTTTATTCTTTTTATGTGCCGTGTCCTTTCAGGATGTAAGTGATCATGGCCCTCCGCTTCCCACTATCTCTTGTGGCTCTCAACAGATTTTGTGGTTCTGTGAACTCCCCTAGATGACGCTATGCCATCTACCTGCCCAAGCCGGGCACATATGTCATGCAATGCTTTCCCCCGTCTCTTTTCCCTCTATTTGTCCCGTGAGTATCAGATTCTCCAGGCCCTCCTTTCTCATCATGTGTCCCAGAAATTTCATCTGCCTCTTCCTTATGTTAAGCATAAGCTTTGTCCTTGTTTGGTCCATGATATCCTCAGCATCATACTGTAGAACCACATCTCACCACCACATATGTCATGCACTGCTTTTTCCCGTCTCTTTTTCCCTCTATTTGTCCTGTGAGTATCAGATTCTCCAGGCCCTCCTTTCTCACCACATGCCCCAGAAATTTCATCTGTAGAACCACATCTCGCCGCCTTGATTCTCTTCTTCATGCATTTAGGATACTGTCCAACATTCGTTGCTGTAAAGGAGGACAGATGTCATGTAACAACTCAGTACTCTTTTCTTTGTCACCGTAGAAATCCTCCTGTTTCACAGTACTCTGCCCAGCTCATGAACCACTACTTTATGCAACAAATTCCCAAGATGATGCTTCATTGCGATCTTAACCTGTTCAATTCTCGGGTTAACTCTTATCTTCCCCACATATCTACATAAATTTTGCCTCTTGTCCTGTAACCCTCTACCTCGAGTGACTCTCGGGCCTTGTATAGGGTGAACATCATTATATAAAAAAATGAATCTCTGTACCTTCTGCAGCCAACCACAACAGGAAAATGTCTAGCCTGCAACCCTGCATCTTCGCATTCATTCACTGTTTTCCTACTACTTTTCTCTCTGAATTTGAGTTGCACATAATTTTCCATTTTTGTCTAAATTATGCATAGAAAAGAACAATCTTTTTTTTCATTGACTTTCTTTAACTTTTAACACTCTACATTATTCACTACTTTCCTTTCCACTTCATTGTTTTTCAAGGCTCCTCTATGGCACTACTAAATTTCCTTCAAGATCATTTTCTGTTGTCATAGCAGGATATGACAACACAACTGAAAAATTCAAACATGCTATAAGATTAAATATTCAATTGTAATTCTATTTATTGCTATTAATGCCCTCTCTCATAACCTTTAACACACTGCATTATTCACTTCTTTCCTTTCCACTGCATTGTTTTTCAAGGTTCCTCTACTGCACTACTTAATTTTAGTCATGATCATTTTCTGTTGCCATAGCAGGATATGACTGTTGCATTGCCTCTTGGTGGGAGTGGTCTCATTTCGTCTATTCTTGGCTGGTGATCGCAAGCTGTTTTATTTAGCAATGAATGACAGAGAATTTTAACTTATCTAGTTTTATTCTTCCTGTTAACATTTTTTAATTATCCTGTGGGGTCACTCCCCACATCCCCCTCTGAAGAGAAATTCCAGACACGAAAGTGAACACGTCTGCATTGCTTGACATATAAGAACCAACTTGCTGAAAAACCTTTCCCTATCTATTATTACCACGCTATCTCAGCCAATCAAAATCAACTTCCTTATTATGTCTCTCATCTGACCCCAAAGGTCAACCTCTGGAGCTAACATATACTTCTCCCTAAAAATAATAGTCTGCTAAACTATTATTCAACATGACAACACAACTGTAAAATTCAAGCACGCTATCATTCATTCATCTGTGTCACCTGCAGTAGCAGGATAAAATTTTTGAATGTTAAAGATTAAATTTAATCTTGATGTTATGAACTTAAGCACTTAAGTACTAGATTGGCAGTTAGGTCTCATTATTTTATAGATGAAAGGGCTAGATATAACTGTAAGTTCAATGCTAATGATTTCTTCTTTTGCACTTCTCATCTGTAGAACTTTCTTTCAACTGCTTGCTTTCCAATCAACTTTGATCTTCAAAAATTTAAATGGAATATTGTTATCTTTTGTCATCTTGATTTCTATCCATTTATTGTTCTCTCCTAGTAATAATGTTTTTCTATTTTTTATTCTTTCACAATGAGTAACCCCTTGCATCTTAGTGACTTTATTGTCTTTCTTCGGATGAAATAATTAAAAAAACTAAAAATAATGAAACTCTCTTTGATGAAAGAAAAACTAAAGTAAATTCATTAATGTTTAAGTACTTTTTAAAATGTTATACAGATTTATGGCCACATCACATTGAAACACAGTTTCCCATATGATCACCATAGTTAAGCAATGTCATGCCTGGTCAGTACCTAGATGCTTGACCATTTGGGAATAGCAGGTGCTGTAAGCTTAGATGTGCAGGTGGTGTAATGGATAATGGCTTGGAATTGTTAATTGGAGAGCCAAGTTCTAATTCCTTCTGCATTTGTTATGTTCACTTACACACAAATACCCTTGGGAAAGGTATGAATTCACCTCTTCTCCCTCCCACAGCTATGGGTTAATTAGTAAAACTTATATCACTAAACCATTATTATGTACAAAAGGAAAGAATTCTTTCAATCCAAAAAATATTTTCTGGCTTTAAATAACCTGCAAAGGGTTGATAACCCATAGAAAATGAATCAGTCACTCAAATACTGATTAGCTATACAGGCATGTCTTTTAGATTTATGTACATTCTCTTGAATATAAATTTATAAAAATGACTGTGGCGACAAAGTGAGGCATCAGTTTATATAATGAATATCATATAAAATTGATCCCCAACTTTATGTCTACATTACAATTTCTTGATGATCCATAGAAAATGAATCAGATCAATCAAATCAAAACGTTAAACATTTTTTGCTATTATAGAATTAATAAAATTCTTAACTTCCATTTAATAGGAGTAGATAGGGTCACTTATCCAGTTCACACTCCTCACTGGCCTTTTGAACAGGAGTAGAGGTTTATCCCTTGTTTCCTGTTCAGAATTGAGTTTCTGGTTCCTTCTAAAGTTTTCCCATTCATTTTCACTCCCAAAAGACCCTTGCATCTTTGTGGCATTCTCACCTTGCTTGGGGTGAACTGATTAAAAAAAAATAGCTGTTGATTATACAAGAATTTACAAAATTCATTGCTGCAGTTTCTTACCTGACTGAGTGTGCAGGTGGTGTTAACTGAGAAATCAGAGAACTGAGTTAGATTTCTAGTTGTCTTTGTTACTGTTGTAGCATACCTACGGATGATAATGGGCTTGTCTCCATTCACATAAATACAATAGTAAATACTGTATGTTGGTTTGCAGTTGGAGATTCATCTCCAGCTGTTCTGGTCAAACTCTTTGCCTCCTGGCAGAGAGGATCCCCAGGCTATGTCTCATCTCTGGAAACAGCTACCTGACCCTGTTTTATATGGGGTCTACAGGAAATTTTTGCTCGAGCCTACTGGTTCGGATGCGCCACATTAAATTTGGCTTGTTGCCACATCTGACCGCTTGGGGCAGCTGGTAGATATCTTGCAGTTGAAGATTCATCTCCAGCTGTACTGGTCAAACTTTCTGTCTCCAAGCAAAGAGGATCCCTAGATGAAGCTATGTCGAAGGGCAGAGTCTCGTCTCAGGAAACAGCTACCAGACCCGTTTTCTACGGGGTCTACGGGGAATTTTTCGCCAAGCCTATGGGCTTGGATACCTCACATTAAATTCAGCCTTGTGCCACATTTGACTGTATGGAGCAGTTGGTAGATATCCTGCAGTTGGAGATTCATTATGGAATTCACTTGATTCACTTGCAGCAGTTGACTACTTCTTCTACGTGCCGCTGGCGAATCTTGTATGTGTTGTTCTTGTCCTAAGTATTATCGTTCATTACCAACCTTCGTTTGATTATTCTATTCAGTAACCTTCCCTAGGTTACAACAGATATATTCACTTATGTGCAAATACCCTTGGGAATGTTATGAATCCATCTCTTCTCCCCCCACCTTTGGATTAAAAAGTAGAACTTGCACCAGGAAAAATCATTGTTATTGCAAAAAAAAAAAAAAAAAATTGTTAATGCAATATTCACTCACAAAAAAGAATTATTCCTATAATTCATGCGAAAATGATATTGAAATTTTTATATATCAAGAACAATTTTAAGAAAATCTATGGTGAAAAAATTTCCACATGACACATTTTATCCTTTAAGACCCCATTGAACAAAAGTTGATGTTTACATCAATGTGATTATATATGCACATGAAGAAGAGGGGGAAGGCAAATTAAAAAAAAAAAAATGTTTTACTCTACAAAAAGTTAAGGTGTAAAAAATAAACAAAAAGTAAATAATTCGAATTACCCTTTCTTACTAATGAGATATTCTATTGTTATGGTGACATTGCTTGATGCCAACATGTAAACATGCATCTTGTCATCATCATAAAGTTAATGCTTTTCTGTAGTGATAAATCATTTGCATGCAATTAATTATTTCTATAATGAAAAATCATTTGCAGTTCTTTCCTATAGTAAAAATAATTAGCAATTATTTCTATAGTAAAATAATTTGTAATTATTTCTATAGAAAAGTCATTTGTAATACTTTTCTAGAGTAAAATGATTTGTATTGCTTACCAATAGTAAAATCATTTGCAATATTTTCTATAGTAAAATCATTTGCAATATTTTCCTATAGTAAAATCATTTGCAATTAAATTTATGGTAAAATCATTTATAACTATTTTCCCATTGTAATTATTTTTATAGATAAGTCATTTGAAATGCTTTCCTATAGTAAAAGGATTTGTATTGTGTTCTTGTAGTAAAATACTTTGTAATAGTTTCCTATAGTTAAATTAATACGTAATTAATTCTGCAGTAAAGTCATTTGTAATTATTTCTATAGTAAACTCATTTGTAAAGCTTTCCTGTAGTAAAAATAATATGCAATGCTTTCCTATAATAAAATCATATACAACGCTTTCCTGTAGTAAAAATCATGTTTGATACAATGAATATATGTATCGATAAAATTTCAAGGTACTCTTTTTTAATTCATAGAAAATCAGGTTGAATGTGTGTATAGAGGAAAACATTTATAATAAGTGTTTCTTTTGGAAAAGAGGTAATACATCTGTGCATTTATACAGGAATATGTCTCTCCATGGCGTACTGGTTAGTAAGGTAGTCTTGTGAACCATTCCATCACAAAATTAAAATTATAAAGCTCCAAGAGCATTACATTTAAGTGACTGTAATAAATTCAGCTCTCCATTTTTTTTCAATGTGAAGTGCTTTCCATTACTCCACTCAGCCTTGTGCCATACTAGACTTATTTAATATCAAAGGCACCCAACCACACTGCAAAAGCTACCAGTCTTATAGATAGTCAATATTATACTTGGTGGTCCGAAAGTATTGTCACCCTTATATTTTTTTTTTTTTTTTTAAGCATTTCATCCCAAGCAAGGGGAGAGTACCACTAGCAGGCAAAATGGCTACAGAGTGTAAGTAATAGAAAAAAACTGGGTATGGGGGTGGGGGTTGAGAAAAGGATAAAAAGAAGAACAGGGATCAAGGCAGCAGAAGATGTTGATTGACATTACATTTCAATTTTTGAAGATTATAGTTATCAGGGAAGCAAGTAAGAGGAAGGGAGTTCCACTGTTGGGAAGTGCAAGAGAAGAAGCTGTTGGAGTAGAAGAGGCGGTTGCATTTAACTGTTTTGTCAGTAAAAGGGCGGGACCGAGATGCCAACCTAGTTGCATGCTTAAATTCATGCAGTCAGGGCACCAGTGAAGATAGCTCTTCAGAGCAGATGCTATGAAAATATTTATAAAAAAGACAGAGGAAAGTACATGTTATGCTGGTGAGAAAGTGTTATGGAGTGATTTCATAGTGGAGGCTTGTATTTGTACTAAGTCGGTCCTAAAATAGGTTCGAAGTACCAAACTTTAGGAACTTGATATAATAGGTAATGACGCAGAGTAAATCTAGTTGTGGTCGCTGATACTTTAGTATCCAACTACCGGTCGTCTGGCTTCAGACTGAACTCAAACCGAACCGCTGAACGATTATATTTAGTCACCCCACCATGTGGGCATTATGTGGCACAAGGCCGGTTTAACGTGGGATCTCCGAGCCTGTGGGCTCGGCCAAAAATATGCCCATTGAACCCGTATAAATGGGTTCAGGGTCGGTTTACCTCCCCGAAAGAGAATCCGCCCTTTGGCGTAGCCTCTTTCGGGTTACTCCCCGCCTGAAGGCAGAGAGTTCAACTGATTAGCCAGTTGACTGACTGACTGCTGAACGACTGACTCGTTACTCTTACTACTCCTACTTATTATAGGTGGGAGAGTCTATAAACTATAGAATAGGTGTGTTCCACTATAACAGAAAGTGAGTGGTGTCAGGACCCCAAGTCAGGACTGATCATATGTGGCTTTGGATATAATATAATTTTTTTTATTTCAGATGGTTGACACAAGCTTATACAGTTTGGAAGTGAGGTAGGGTGTGACAAGACTTTTGGATCATTTTGTAGTTTGTTCCTAAGGTTATTAAACAGCAAAGTTACTTCGCCATGGAGCAATTGTAACAAAACTTAACTAAGTAAATAACCATAAAATGTGGTCGTATAACAATGGTTGCTTTATAATAAGCTTGCCCTTTCTGAATGCCATATCAACCCCTCCAACTGTGTGACAAATTTAAGCTTTACGTTTCAATACAGCCCTACCCACCAGCTTTCACCTTCACATCCTACACAGCTGATTCTATTACATCAACCAAGATAATTTATCTACCCAGTATCAATGTTGGTGCCCTGAAAGGCAGGAAATCTCAATATATATATATATATATATATATATATATATATATATATATATATATATATATATTCATGATGGTTGTAGGGTCATTATCATTCTCTCAACTGTGTTTATCAATGATAAGATGAATTCTCAACAAGAAATTTCTGGTTAACTTACAAAAAAAATTCTGTTTCTTTCATTTTTCTTTGCTTTTATTGCTTGTATGCAGTAGGGAGAGTTTTTTTTTTTTAGAGAGGTTACATGAAACTTTTGTATAAAAGAAGGTCAGCCATGGTATGTATTAGTTGGGGTTATAAGTGTAAGAGTTTTGAGGCAGTCTATTCTGTCTTCTTTATGTACCATGATTTCTGCCCCAATACACAATTTTATATACATATATATATATATATGTGTGTGTGTGTGTGTGTGTGCGTATATATATATATATATATATATATATATATATATATATATATATATATATATGTTTATTTAGGCAGCATCTTTTCATTCATACACGTTTCATTAAATAATATAGACAAGTGTTGTCTATTTATTTTATGTA